TATGCCGAACGTTCCTCTTGCCACTTTGCTCGAATACAAGTCTTACACAAGCTTTTTTTTTGGAATTCCACTCAGACTCCGTATCGGCACTGGTCAATGGCCTTCCCATAAGAGCTCAACAACTGTGCAGCTTCGTTAGTATATAAATATGCGGGTGACTGAGTATCAAGAACTGAAGATTAGACCGGTCTGACGGGTCGCTGACGCTCTTTTTCCGGTTTTGTTCCATCAGAAGTTTCGGCCTCCGTGGTGGTATCAATATTTATTTTAATGATCACAAAAAGCTTGAATAATGGCTGGCTAGTCAGCACTGAGTCCCACAGCACTCCCTGTTAGCCCTCGGTGGTGTCATGTTACTTTCGAATCTGAAAAGCAGTTTTTGAGTACGGAGTTTACCGATTTTCTTAGGAGCTTTATTTTTCAAAAACTCAGTGCTGGACAAAATGGAAATGTTGACATGACGGGAGAAATCAGTAAGTGCACTGGTGTGAGAAATAACCGCATTCCTCACCGAAATTGGATCTCCTCGCATTTCTTCGAGCAAAAGAAAAAATGAGGCGTTTTTTTCAAACTCGTCAACTTGCTTTGAATGTTATACCCGTACCATGTATTGAGCGCTCTCTCATCCGAAAAGGTACTTGAATATCCCAGCACGTTCGTCTTTTTTGAAATCCTCTTATGACTACTAGCGAAATGGCAGACGTTTTCATTTTATGGGAGAATAAATTCAATTTTCCTCATTTCCTTTTTTGTCGTCCAACTCATTGATAGAGGAGTAAGTAGTGCGCCTGCAGTCACCTGAAGCATTCAATGGAACTGAAAAGCTGCCAACTTAGTATCTCTGTGGGGATGGTTCAGTAGTTCCAATCACTCCGGTAATAACGGAGTAAGGATTCAACAAGTAGAAAGTAAGCGGATGTAACCGCAATTAAAACACAAGATGGTGATAAGTCTTTATCACACAACCTACGTCTCACCTTAAACGTTGTTAGAGGAAGCCCTTATCATGGGTATGCTTCACCCCGCACCATTTAGAGACGCAGGTTAATAGCACGGCTCACGACAATTTTGAGGTACCCCTTTTTAGTCGAAAAATGGAAGTTTACATAGGTTGTGAATAGTCCATTGGTAGTGAAGAAAGCGAGAAAATTTTGCAGCGACTTTTGGAAGAATAAGGCTCCTCAAAAGTAGGGATAATGAAGTTTGGACGAGATTACCATGACGGAAATAACATGGAGGGGGTATTTGGACGAGATTTCGGTTGTTGCAAATGCGCAAAGAGCTGAATACATCAAGCCAGATCTAAGCAGAAAGGCCTTTCACTGCCGCTGTGGGTCATGACAAGTTGTTTGAGCTTCCTAACGNACGGGTTCCTTACGATCTGTACAGCCTCTACAATGCCGGTAATACTCGTCCGAGGATACACACGAGCTTTTATAACGCCTTAACTAGGCCGTTTTCCGACATGATAGTGCCCGATATGGTATAAGAAGGGGCCTAAAATTTATCCTATGGGAAAAACCCAGGAACCATTTCCATCGTGAACTGTGCCTTTAAGCTAGGAAGTCGTCTCGGTCAAAAGGCGAGAGATGGAGTCGTCGCCGTAGATGACGATAGTTGCTGACTTGAACGTAATCGCTGAGCCATCTCGGAACACTATACAGTCTACCCCTAAGAAAGTAACATGATTGATGTATTCGTGCCAGGAAACTTGCTCAGTTTTTTGAAAGCAGTAACAATATCGTGAAGGTTAAAAAATGGGGAAAAGCGCAGGAGTAAGACGATGGAGAATTGCGCAGCGCTTATGCGAGGAACAGAAAGTTCTTGAGGCATTTGAGACGCAGGATAATATGACGGTTATAAAAAAATTTATATGGATCTCGTCACCTATGTACTAATTGAGTATTTTGCCCATCTGTGGGAACACAGAATGGTTAACTGTTCGATTATTTCATTTTAAATCTAGAACTTATCCCGAAGTCTGCTTGAATATAAATTGCCATCGTTTAATTAAAGTACGCAAACTCCTATACAGAAGCCTTTGAAGCTTGTTCATTTGTATTTGGCGTGTGCACAAGGACGTCTTTCTTCCTTTTCTACTGAATACTTTTTGAAAGAGCCTCCCGTGCACTTTCCCAAGCCAAAGTGCTCCTATGCATAAAATATGAGAACTTGGAGCACATGCAACGAAAAGATGTGCACAACTTTAGGGGTCGCTGTCGATATTACTCGATTCTGTTATTCTACAGTATTTGATTACAGTAAGCGGACCACATTCGATCGGCATACAACCAACTATCAGGCATGGCGAGAGCAGATGACCGTGTGTGATCTGCTGCAAGAATACGATGCAGCCGTCAGACCAAGCGGACGGACTCCTTACAATAATAGCAGTACGTTATCGAATTAATTGTTACTTTGGAATTTTCTGACTACCTATAAATAGCGAATAAATAATAATGAACAAGGGTAGCCCTCCCCACATTCATATGCTGTCCCAGCCGATGGTGATGTTTTTGCGTGCTCGACGTTCAACTTGAAAATGATTAATTGGCAAAATCCGTATGAACGAGGTGTTGTTTTTCGAACTCTAGGGCTGACATGATCCTGCCATGATATGATTCAGGCTCTAGGAGGGGCAAGAAGATGCGCTCAAGCATTACAACAATTTCGAGAGATATTTGGGATCTTGGAAAGTATCTGCTCAAAATTCCGGCTTAAGGCATTGGAACGAGGACTGTACAGAACCGTTTAAGGGGGGCGGGGGGGAGGGGGGCTTAGAGGCCAATTTCTCGAAACAAGATTCGATGGGTTTGAGCAACAGATTGGCTGGATTCGAACTTGTAAAGAGTACATGTTGAATATTGGTAGAGTGCTGGGTCAATATGTGGTCAAATAAGCAAACAAAGGCTATCCTGATACTTTCCAACGTTCAATAAAAAAAGTGGTAAGAAAATGTGATTATACTATTTGTGAGAGTAATCTTCGTTAGTTGAACGCAAGAGAAATACAAATGATAGAATTATGTCTTCGATGCAATCGATTTAATGTTTGGGACGACTGATTAACTTCCATTTACAGGAGGGCCGGTTATTGTAGTGACAAGTCTCAATATTCGTTCGATATCGGCCGTTTCTGAAAAGAACATGGTGGGCCTTCATATTTTTTTGAAAAAAGTTCAGAGTTCACAGTTTTTTTTTGATTATCTTCAAAACCATTACGATGTTTTAAAATATACTAGTCAGTTTCAATATAAGATCTCTCCTACGATTCATCGCCTTCTCCTTTAGGAATTCGTAGCTCAGTTTCGATTCCGACAAGAATGGTTTGACGATCGCCTCCGATTTATGGATCACCAGGCAAGATTGCTGTTTTTTTAAGAAACAGTTTGAAAACGTTTTCTCGCTACCACAACCACCTACCGTACTTCTGCTCAGTTCATCCTTTTTTAGGGTCCGCTTTCTCCAGAATTTCGTAACTTCGAGTTCATACATGTGGCCAGAGATCAACGTTTGTGGATTCCAGATACATTTTTTCAAAATGAACGAAACGGGTGGTACCATATGTTGGACCAGGTCAGTTGAGTAAAGTAGTTATCGGTCAACTGAAAATAACTCATTATATGATTCACGAAAATGGTACTTGCTATTTTTTGGATATATTCGTGTTCTTTGGATAGGTGTTCTTTAGACAGATTCGTTGGCTAAAGCACAATCGAACGCGACAATCTTCGAAGATGAGCGAACTCTTATAACGAAAAAATGCTCTCGTTAGAAGCTAATTGCTCTGCATGAGGACATGTTCCATTATTAGCATGATTTACTTGCAACTGATGAAAGGGTTCAAAATCAGCTTCACAGCCATAAGGTGTACCTAGAACCCCATTGAGTGCTCCATCCCTACTAGGGCTCCGAAGGAAGCCGAGTTTGCGAAAAGCCGATAAATTCGTTACCGATCTCGGAGACTTGATCGAAAAACAATGACGATATTTTTGACGCTCGTCGTCATAGGGACTTCCACCAGTTTGAAGGGTGTGCCAAATATTTCACGCTCATTTGACTTGGTAAGAAATTGTAAATTCACTCAAAGTTATATAGAGGTTGTTTGAGGCAATGTTAAATCTTTTCAAAGAAGTACGTATGTGAAGTGGTGCAGCTAAAGTAAGCGAGCCTCAAAGCAGGTTTCCATACACTCAAAGGGGCCCAGCAATTAAGAGCCTAATGACTGCTNATCGTTTTCTCACTACCACAACCACCCTCCTTTCTACATACTTCTGCTCAGTTCTTCCCTTTTTAGGGTCCGCTTTCTCCAGAATTTCGTAACTTTGAGTTCATACATGTGGCCAGAGATCAACGTTTGTGGAT